CAATGTAAAGAAAATCTAAAGCCTCACAACTGGACCAGTGAGGAATATGGTAAGCAGAGAAATGGTTGGTGTCAAGGATTTTATCTTGCTTGAATCCATCCACAACCAATGCTCATGGAAGCAGCAATAAAAAAATCAAAAGATGAGTTGCATTAGGTGAATCTGCTGCACAAGACCTCTTTAGAGTATTGAAAAGCAAGGATGCTCCTTTGAAGACTAAGGTGTGCCTGACTCAAACCATGGTCTGTGTGAAAGTTGGACATTGAATTAGGAAGACCAAAGAAAAACTGATGCATTTGAATTGTGGTGCTAGAGAAGACTATTGAAAGTACCACGGACTGCTAAAAGGACAAACAAGCCAGTCTTGGAACAAATACAGCCAGAGAATGCTCCTTAGAGGCAAGGATGGCGAGACTTGGTCTTACATACTTTGGCTATGTCAGGAGAGACCCGTTTCTAGAGAAGGGCATCATGCTTGGTAGAGGGGCATCAAAAAAGAGGAAGGCCTTCAAGGGGATGGGTTGACACAGTGGACGCATCAGTGGGTTCAAGCGCAGGAACAATTGTGAGGTTGGTCCCGGACCCGGCAATGTTTCTTATGTCGTGCATGGGGTCACTGTGGGTAGAAACCAACTGGAAGGACCCTAACAGCAGCAGCTGTGGTGCATGTACACACACAGACTCCCACTTCTGTTTACATGTTCTGTGGAATGGTTTTCAATACTCAGAGATCTCAGTAGCCCTGGTGAAAGATCCACAACCTGGCACTGCAGCAAAGCTGAGGGGACTGCCCACCATCCTGGACATTGCTGTATCACGTCCCAGGCGCTGCCCCTTCCCTGTGGGTCTGTTTACATTGTGACTTCTGAGATGGACTAGAATGGGGACCCCTTGGGTAAGCAGTGCGACTGCAGGGTCATAACTCGGGGTTCCCTGCTGTGGAGAGGGCATGAAGGGTAGGTAACCCACAGCCTCCCCGCCATCGCCCTCCCAAAGAGGCCCCGTAGTAGGCGGAGCCTGTTAGGGGCGGCTGCTGGCCTGCTACTTGGCAAGCCCCTGGAGGGCCCGCTCAGGCTAGAAGGGAGTTGGCTCTGTCATCCCGCCCCCGCCACGGGCTAGGGTCCAGGCCTCACCCCGCGGAAGGAGAGCGCAGAGAAACTCCCGTGGATGCCTGGTTTTTCATCCGGAGTCGCTTCACTTTTACGTTGTGAACGCACGTTTTTTTTTTCCCCTTGGGCAAGAATGCATATCAGTTACTAAGCCCAGCTTAAAAGCCAAAGCCGTTCGCTTGTCTTAACTAGGGGTGCCCAGCCAAGGGCCCCTGAGCTCAAAACTGACATGGACTTGTTTGCCAGGGAAATAAAAAACGAGTATCTGTGCGTCATCTCCTGATTTGCATTACGTACAAATGCAAATGTGCCGCTCTGTCTCATAGCCTGAAGGGCTCAGCGATCCGCTTTGATTGGATGCATTTTAAGGAAAGGATGCAAAGTTTACGAAGCTCCTGAAATTTTCCAGTGACGTTTTTTGCTTGTCTCGACTCATTTTCTCTTTTGTTTTCTGTTTTTGTTCTTGATTTACCTTCACCTACCTGCTGACTCACGCCATCCAATCAACATACAATGCGAAAACCCATGTCTCCGTCTGTGTGTTGCCTGCCTGCTGCTCAAACCACCCCAATCTGTAAATAATGTGCAAATACTCATCCATGAAAACATCACATATAGGAAACGGTTGGTTTCATGACTTTTCACTAACGCCCTTGTCTGCCTGCCCGCTCCGACCCTCCCTCTTGTTCCCTCCCAGGCTCAGGCTCTGCCTCCCGTGGGCGTGGCTGCTGCTCGTGGGCGTGGCTGCTGTCCTGCTGCTTCCTTTCTGGCCCTTTCTGTGCCCTCTAGATTCGGGGTCTGCCTGACCCTGGACATTGGCCGGGGAGGAAGACGGCGGTCTCTGGGGTGGGAGGGGAAGCACCAAGGCAGCTCTCTCCCCTGGGCCTGGCTCGGAAGGTCGCAGAGCCCATGGTTCCTGCTGCACGGTGCACTCCCTTTGAATCTGCCCCGGGAAGAAGCACAGGGCTGGGGGGATCCCAGAGGACCCTGTGCTCATGATCTGGACGGGGCGAAGTGCTGGAGACAGGCCACCGTGAGAACCCAGGCCTCCACCAGGTGTGCTGGTGGCCGTGGTGCCGCGACAGCAGCGTCCCTCCATGCCTTGGCCGGAGACCAAGGCGCTGCAAAGAAAGGAGGGTTCGGAAGGCTTGCTACAGTGGCTATAACCCTGAGCGTTGGAACTTCCGTTTCCAGAAAACGCCTTGGATGTAGCAGAAAGGCCCAAAGAGCATCTGGGTAGCTTCCACTTCCCTCAGGTTTCTGCTCAGCTACCCCCACTGGCGCCCACCCCACTGACCCTCCTGCTCCCCTCCCTCTCTCCACTGCACACCTCACCACTTCACGTGTGTGTGCATGTGTCTGTGTAAAGGTGTGCATGTATGGCCATGTGTACATGAGGGCAAGTCAAAAAGTATTTGTAAAGAGTTCCAATTCATGCACGTGCACATTTATTCCAAACACGGTATAGTTACACATGTCTGCCATCAGTGGGTTGCTGAAGACAAGTTTTCTCAGCCACTGATCTCAATCTAATTGGGGTGCCTTCTGAAAAAAGGGTGTCTCCGGAAGGGATTTGTTGGGTCTGGTATATTGAAGGCAGAGGCCAGCTCAGAAGGTTGTGGCAACGGTGTTTTGAGAATTCAAAAAGGTCTGCTTCATGGGTTTTCCTGAAGGTTGCATGATTACCACCGGGCCTTGCTAGAGAGAAGCCTCAGGAAAAGTGACAGCTGTATCGGTGAGAATAGGGTCAGGGACCCTCTTACCTATCACAACGATGTACATCCATTCCAGGGCAGCAAGGGGGACCAGAGGAAGAGTTCGTGGGGATACCTGAGCCCAGCTACCCTGCAGTCCTGATCCTTCCACATGCATTTCTTTGTGCTCCCCAAGCTTAAATGGCATTGAAAAGGAAGACGATTTGAGTCCCTCAAAGATTCCCAAACTGCTGTTTCAATCTGTATTTCAAACAGCTTGGGATTCTCGGGAAGGAGGGGCGAGATGGAAACACGACCTTCAAAAATATGCAGACAGAGACAGAGGAGGTGTTGGGAAGTAAAAGCTGGATGCTTTGATGTTTTTAATAAAGGTTTCTGATTTTGTAGCGATATTTTTTCACTTGCCCTCCAGTGTGTGTGCATACATATATATGTGTGTGTGTGTTTTATGTGTGTACACCTGTATGTACATTGCATTGTGTTTATATGCATGTGTGTGGGTATGTGTGTGTGTATACAAGGAGGCTTTAAAATATTTATGGGAAAGTGGAATCGAAAGTTAACGGAATTTTCCACAAACTTTGAAATGTATTGTATGTATTTGTGCATATATGTGTGTGTGCATGTATATCTATGTCTCTGCATGTGTACTCTGACTCTGATTACTTTTTCTGACTTTTCCCACCACTAGAAATTAAATCTCTAATGTCTCTACTTTTCATTTGAGGAAGCTGAGGTTCAAAGGAATGAAGGGACCAGTGTCCCCTCAAAGTGAAGCACACCCCATTGTGTGGCACCTTAGAGGTAGTATAGACCCTTTCAGATTCAGGTGACCACTGTAGTGCCACCAGGAAGGGCCTGTCCTTGAAGTCAGCCAACCATCTGCCACCTGGTGCAGCAGAAACCACAGCTGTGTCCCATTTGGGGTGGCAGAGACCAGAGAAACTGGTACACTCACAACACCGTCTGCCATGTGCTTGCTGCCCTGTCGTGGTTAGGCACAGATTCCGCCCCTCATGCCAGGCTGGGGACGTGGTCTGCTCTGTCTGGCTTCTCCCTAGAACCTACCAAAGGAGAGCTGCCCAGTGCTGATGCCTTGTGGCTGGACAGGGGCTGGCTCTGCCTATCTGTCCAGTCCCTGGACCCTCCAGAGCAGATGTTTCCAGAGGCTCCTCTGAATCCCTTCTGAGGGATTCCTGCATGAATGGACAGTTGCCCCCTTCCCTTATGCTCAGCCTTCCTGCACTGCCCACCCAGTCTACCCCAGCACATGCAGTGTAAGGCCAGCAGATGCACTCTAATGCCTTGGCCACATGGCCCTCTGTCCACTTGTGACCTGGACATACTCTGTCTGCCCTGTGCCTCATTCCTGTCTGCATTACTCCAGCCCAGTCCTTACTGCTCCCCATCACTGCCATAGAGCCCACACTCCCCAGCTGCCCAGTGGGAACCAACGTACAGATATGGCAGCAGGTGGGCTGCTGACCCTGGGAGTGGGCTCTCCCCTCTTGGCCCCCACCCCCTGGACCTGGCTCAACCTGAAGCTCACGTGGGTCTGTGGACCTACACAAGCTGCCCTGCCCACACTTCTGGAGGACAGTGGGGACAGGCACTGCTCAGCGTGGCTGTACCTGGATGGCCGGAAGTTGTTCTCAGCTGGGCCACACTGGTCTCAGGCAGCAGAGCCCAATGTCAAACCGTCCCCCAGAACCCAGGTCTATCTGCCACCCCAGGGGCCAGGTTGGAGCATCTCTTCTAGGAATCCCAGCTGTTGTCAAGCGTTGTGCTGGTGTTGGGCCCTTGGATGGGATGGTGCTAGCACCTACCCAAGACCTGGGTTTCCGAGGAACAGGGGTGGCTTGGAGAAGTCTGCAAACCCTGGGGTGCCCCGGGGGCATCTGCTGGTCCCAGAGGGACAGGCAGTGAAAGGTCATGACTGCCAATACCCGGGGCCCCTTCAGGGGCTCCCAGTGCCTGGATACAGATGACCTCCCAGGCCCTGACAGCAGGGCAAAGCCAGGGAGGGTTTCACGTGTTGTCCCTCTGCTGGCCTTGCTGCTGTGGCAGGCTCATCCCAGGGGGGTCATTGTGTGTGGTGACCATCTCTCGGGAGGTCTGGGGGATCTGCTCAGAAGCCGGGCTTGGGGGCTCAGGGGACCCTGTCTCCTCCCTGCAGAACAACTTCATCAACCTCAGCTTCCTCCGCCTCTTCCGAGCTGCCCGCCTCATCAAGCTGCTTCGCCAAGGCTACACCATCCGCATCCTGCTGTGGACCTTTGTGCAGTCTTTCAAGGTGACCGGCCGGCCACCCATGTCCTAGGAAGGCCAGCTGGGTGGGTGGGAGTCGGGCCACACCATCCTTGAATGGCTGGGAACATGGGCTTTGTCATCTGTCGTCTTCTGCCATGTATACCTGCTTTGACGGTGCCCACAGACGGCCTTTTCCGTCCTCTCCAAGCTCTGGCTGGCCTTGTGGCTCTGTGGCCGTCACGTGGTGGTGGTCAGTGGGTGGAGCCTGGCCAGCCTGACGTCCGGTGTTCCTGCCCGCAGGCCCTGCCCTACGTGTGTCTGCTGATCGCTATGCTCTTCTTCATCTACGCCATCATTGGCATGCAGGTGGGTGCGGGTGGCCGCCAACCAGTTTCCGTCATCACCCTTGGTCAGG